TTATGTTCTTTATAAGAATATTCAGCTCTCATATAATTAAAATTTATCATTTTCTTACAAATTAAAAATTAAAATTCTTGATATCCTGATTGGGATATAGATTTTCTTGATATCCCAATCGGGATATAATTTCAAACTATATCCAGTTCGGGATATAAAAAAAATTTTGCTGCAAAAATGATATCCCAATCGGGAGTACATCTCGATCGGGATATGTCTCCACACTGCATGTTCTTCTTCCATATAATGGTCAAAAACTTCTATTCGTGTTATCATTTGGTACTCCATCATGCAAAGGAAAAACAGTGTTACTTAATATGATTCTCAAGACAAATTTTGATTGTCATTGTAAAACTGAGTTTAATTCTGAAATTGCATCCGCTTACTATCATAATAAATTGATTCAAATATTGCTAAGCCATCCATATTATATGGATCGAGGTATCGATAATGAGATTGCACATACGTATAAATGCCATGACTGCCTCTCATGACTGGAGTCAAATGCCAAACTTTTTCGTCCAGTTTATGAGCGTTATTATGATTTATATGGACGGTTCAGACGCAGATCAAATTGATTCATTGACGTGGTCTACAGCCACATTCAATCAAACAGCAACATATCTTATTTTTATTCATGGCCAAATCTCACATTCAAAAGTAAAATCAGATTTGGAGGCGCAAATTTTAAAGAAATTTGGTAAGAACAAAACAAATGTGCAAATTATTCGTGCCGAAGAACTCTTGAATGAAACCAATAAAACTTTACAGTTGGGATTACAAAATATATTAAAACAGGCTAAGATTCCAGTTGACTCACTCTTCGACGTTTCGGAGCAATCATTAAACCAACACGATTTCAAGTTATCAACTAACATCAATACTGTAGTTAATATAAAATTGCTTTGAGAATTTTGTACGAAACTGAATATGTTAAGAGAAGACGTTCCAGCTCTAGATTTATTTCCCTTGTCTCGACTAAACGAATTGTCTGAAAAATCAATACTCTCTTCCATCGAAGAACAGTTAAAAGATCAATTAACCGAACAGCTTTATCGACATGTTTTTAATCACGCACATCCTGTGCTCAAAACGTTGGCTCAATTGTCAGTTGATCAAGATAGTGATGTGGCTATGTTCGAAAAAGCTGTTTTATTATGGAATACAACCTTGTGGCAACGGAAACGACAAGAAGAAACAACATTACCAATATCAATGTTCCAAAAGCTAGAAATGAGTAAAGATCGTTTTTACGCGAATTTCAAGAAAGAATTAGAGGATATACTAATCGTAACGGTAGACACTGTTTGTTTGACGATAGTTGTCTAATGAAAACAGCTCTACTAAAAATTTATCAACGTTCTTTTCAAAATCAAGAATATATCGAAATACTTAATGCAACATCTTGTACAGTTTATCCAGAAATATTCCGTGAAACGTTTTCTGGTAACTCGGATTTAAAAAACTTTTTTGTTATTGGAATTATTGGCGAACAAAGCGGTGGAAAAAGCTTCTTAGTTAACAAAGTGTTTGGAACAAAAATTGCTGAATCAAAATTTAAATGTACTACAGGAATTTTAGCTACTCGAGTAATTGTGAGTGATCATGAAAATGTAAAAAATATTGTTGTTCTTGATACGGAAGGTCTTCTGGATAGATCGAAGAAAGATGCTGAATCACAAATATTTGATCGTACAACCGTTCTTGAAGTAATGGCTCGATCTCATGTGGTTTTAATAAATATTCCCAGAAATGTTAACAAAACAATGCAACAAATATTAGAAATTGTTATGTATGGATTAAATAAATTACAGATCACAAACAAACAAAAACTTATTTTTCTATTCCGAGATCAAGATCCTAGAACAATGAGCAAAGCTGGACAACGAAACCATGTTGGGGAAGTCATGGACGACATTAAACTTGCTTGTGAAAAAGTTAATTTTAACGTCCAAAATCTTATCAATGGATATGATACTCATGAATTTCCTTCACCATTTGTTGATTTCGTTATTGGTGAAAGAGAAGTATCATTTTTCAGTAATAGTTTTTGCCAAAAAGCTTTGTTATTACGGCTGAAAATTATTAATCAGTTGGCTAATTTAAGATCATTCGATTCTTTTCAACAATGGGTTGACTTGACTTGATGGCAACAAATTAATCACAATTCTAATTTATTTGACTACGAATCTTTGGTACATCTCATACTTGAAAAAGCATTAGAAGTGTTTTGCAATCGCGTATTAACCGATGCCAATTCTGAAATGAGAAGAATCGTCTCAGATACTTTGAATACTGAGCCGAGAATCACTTTGGCTGATAATAGAATTTTACATGATATTGATGGAAAACTTGATGCTAAAAAACAATTTCTTGCTGATGATTTAGCTAATCATCAGTTGACTGATGAAAAGAAAAGTTTGACGAGAAAGCACAATCTGGAATCATTTCCAGAAGCTTTATGGGACAATACAATATCAAGAATAAAATCTTCCCTAGATCTGTAGTCTCATTCGAGAAACGAGGAAATTCTGCATCGATCAGACTGCTTTAGAGATGTCTAGCATGTGACATGACTAAACAGGAGATCAAAAATACTTTAAAGCATTTTCACATCGATCCATAAATAACAAGATTTTGAGTTTTTTCAAGATTTCGTGAAACATAACGCGTATCGTGAATGGTCTCATTCGAGAGACGAGGAAATTCTGCATCGATTAGACTGCTTTAGAGATCTTTACCATGTTACATGTAAACAGGAGATCAAAAATACTTTAAAGCATTTTCACATTGATCGATAAATAACAAGATTTTGAGTTTTTTCAAGATTTGGTGAGATTTTCAAAAGTGATTTTTGGATGAAAAAATTTTAAAATATTGATTTTGGAAGAGGCAAAAAAGCGAAAAATTTTGAAAAATAAGTTAAATTCTTTCTTTATTCTTTTTTTAAAACTTCAAAACTATTTTTTTCTCATTCTCTGTACAAAACTAGGTAT